CTACAGCACGTTACTTCATTTTCAGAATTTGTCCCTTTTTTCTCGCACTGTATGTGCAGTAAGCTTGGCTACATTTTATTAGCCGTGGACATCACACATTTACGAACCTAAGTATGCTAGACAATTCCTTCTGGGTGTCCTTTTCGTGTGTTTTAAAAAAATCACAAAAATGTAGTAAATGTTTCTGTCAAGCAATGCGCTACTGCCCGGTTAAAAAAACCGGCCAGTTTTAGCAAATACCGGTCCTGTACTAAAACAATAATTTCATCCGCTCCATACATCTCCCCAACAAGATTTTAAAATAGCAAATTCCTCAATATTATGTCATTCTATTGAAGGTTATTGCAGACTTTTAGGCCGAATTCTCTATTACTTAGAAGTTCGCAAGGATTTCTTGCCTAGCCTAGCCTCGGACACAAATGCTGGAAACCCGGCCAGTTTTAGCAAATACCCGACCGGTACTGTATTAAAACAATAATCTCATCCGTTCCATACATCTCCCAAACAAGATTTTAAAATAGCAAATTCCTTAATATTATGTCATTCTATTGCAGTTTATTGCAGACTTTTAGGCTGAATTCTCTGTTACTAAGAAGTTCGCAAGGATTTCTTGCCCAGCCTAGCCTCCGCCAGTTTTAGCAAATACCGGTCCTGTACTAAAACAATAATCTTATCCGTTCCATACATCTCCCAAACAAGATTTTAAAATAGCAAATTCTTCAGTATTATGTCATTCTATTGCAGTTTATTGCAGACTTTTAGGCCGAATTCTCTGTTACTTAGAAGTTCGCAAGGATTTCTAGCCCAGCCTAGCCTCGGACACAATGCTGGAAACCCGGTCCAGTTTTAAGCAATAGCAAATACCGGTTCTGTACTAAAACATAATCTCATCCGCTCCATACATCTCCCTAACAAGATTTTGAAATAGCGAATTCCTCAATATTATGTCGTCCCATTGCAGGTTATTGCAGACTTTTAGGGCGGATTCTCTGTTACTTAGAAGTTCGCAAGGATTTCTTGCCTACCCTAGCCTCGGACACAAATGCTGGAAACCCGGCCAGTTTTAGCAAATACCGGTTCTGTACTAAAACAATAATTTCATCCGCTCCATACATCTCCCAAACAATATTTTGAAATAGCGAATTCCTCAATATTATGTCGTCCCATTACAGGTTATTGCAGACTTTTAGGGCGGATTCTCTGTTACTTAGAAGTTCGCAAGGATTTCTTGCCTACCCTAGCCTCGGACACAAATGCTGGAAACCCGGCCAGTTTTAACAAATACCTGACCTGTACTGTACTAAAACAATAATCTCATCCGCTCC